TCCTCCGCCTCCTCCGCCCCCGCCGCCGCCGCCGCCGCGGCGGCCCCCGGCTGCAGCTGCAACGCCGCTCGGCAGGGTGCGGGGGTCGCCGCCTGGCCTTGGTCAGCAGCAGCAGCAGTAAAAGCAGCAGCAGCAGTGCTCTGGGGTGGGGGGCTTGCTTCTCAGGGCGCACTCCGTGGTCGCCCCTCTCAGGGAGGGTCGTGGCTCCCCCCCAGCCCCGGTGCGCTTGGCTTGCTCCAGCGGGACTTGCCGGGTGGGGAGGAGGCCTGCGCTGGGTCCACTCTCCCTCTGCGCGCTCTTGCTCGGGCTTCTCCTTCCAGTCCACAGAGCGAGCGTGGACTCTGCCCCGGGCGTGAAGGGCTCAGTTCACCTGTTAAGTGAAGGTTTCACAGGAGACAACAAAGAAAGAAGCGGCTCTTTCCTTCCTTAACCAAATTGTACTCGATCTGCAATCGGTCCCGCTCCTTCCTTTGCCTGAACTGGTATCTCCTCCTCAGGAACACATTTCACTTGTTTTCCCTTCGAGTAGAAAAACTTTTTCCTTCCTTGAAGGCGTGGTGATGCTGGCTGCTGGCTTGTGCAGAGAGAGGAGGCTGGCTCCTGGTCTCCCCCTCTGGTCCTCTCGTTTCAAGTTTTGTTCTGTCCTAGGAAAACTTCTTGCGAGGATGCATTTCTCTGAAGTTGTTATTGCCGGAGCTCTGGATTGCCTCTGAAACAAGAGTCCTTTTCCATTCTCCTCGCAACAGTCACAGTCTGATGCGACATCTTTCCTTTTGGGCAGAAATTAGGAAACAAATATAACAAGGAAAAAAAAATTGAACAGGAAAAAAAAATGAGGTTGAAGTGCTCTGTTACCTTGTTGCTGACGGTTGGGTTTGGTGTTTATTTTTTTCCCAGCAGTTGTCTGGAGGAGGAGGAAGAAGAGTGCATTGGTGGAGGTGGAGGTGTGTGTGTGCATATAGGGGATCCTTGGTACACAATCAACTCCAGTGGGCAAGTTGCACGGCTGGTAGAGTGCACTGACGGTGGCGGTGTTGGCGCTGGCCGTGCTGGAGAGGAGTTGTAGCAGGAGCTCAGCTCTGCGCCCTCTTTCGCGCTCTCTCCCTCTCTCACTTTCCCTCTCCCTCCCTCTTCCTCTCTCCCTCTCTGGCTCGCCCGCTCTCTCTCGGAACTGACAGTTCGCTCTCTGTCCCTCCCTCTCAGAGCGGGGACTGTCGAATGTTTACCCTCCGCTGAGAGCGCGCACCCACCACCACACTTTCCCAAATACAAGGAAGTCGAGCACAAGGGCCCCCGCTGATTGGCTACCCGCTGCGTGATTGGCAGGCTCGGAATGACTGGTTCTGGACGCGCGGCCCCCCTTCCGGCCGTTCCGATTGGTTGCTTTTTAATTTAGGCAAAGCGTCGTAGAAGCTGGAAATCTGTCGTCCCCCTTACTCCCTCCCCGTCGCCACTTTCCCCTCCCTCCCCCTCCCCCTCTGCCCCTCCGCCACATCTTAACTCTTAGTGTCCGGCCGAGACGTTGGCGTTCCCTCGGCGGCTCTGGGCGTTCGGAATAGGTCTGGGAGGGGGAAAGAAAGAGGAGAGAAAATGGAGGGTGGGGCGAGAGAAGCGGGGTTGGGGTGAGGTGGGGTGGGGTGGAGGAGAATCAGAAAGAAAATGAAAAAGGAAAATATCATGAAAAAATAGCAACCTACCCACCCCAGTTAATACTGCGTTCCGTTGGCACCCTCCTCCTTCCCTCCAATGCCAGAGATGTGTAAAGCGCGCGGCCCGGATGCGCCATTTACGCTAATACCTATAGACAGAGGTGTCCCCAGCGGTTTTAAAGTTTCCTCTTCCCTTCACCAACCGGTTCTCATCTCTTTTTCGGCGGGGGTGGAAATGGGGGGCAAGCATCGCTAAAAACTCGGGTGGTAGCCACGCTCCTTGGAAATCCGCCACCGCAACTTTCTGCAGTCGCTTCGCGCCGGTGGCGGCCCTCTTTGTTTAAGTTCTCGGATGCCATCATCTGGGAAACCCGCAAGCCCAGGACCAGCGCGGTGCCCGCGCGTGCGAGACGGACCGCTCCCAGCCGCTGCTCCCTCAATCCTCCACCCCTCTTTCCCTCTTTCGCCCACCCTTCCTCCCTCCCTCCCGCCTCGGGGATTTATGCAAGTACTGTGCATGCCCTTGCGAGTTCGGAGGGTGCCGGTCAGCGGAGCCACACGATGTATTTGAAAAGCAATCAGCCCGACCTTTCCCCGTAGATACATTGTAAGTGTATTTGACCCAAATGGCTTTAGGAATACCCATTCCAGCAGGAACCCTGCCAAAGAACCTCGATCCACTAGCCGCGCCCTCCACTGTTCCACCGCTTACATTGTGTCTGTTTGTGTGTGTGTGCGTGCGCACATTTAAATTGCAGTGTGGTTATTAATGATGTGATTTTGCTTGCTTGCTATTCTTATGCATGGTGGTGCTTTATTCTTTCTTTTCTGTCTACTGTGGGTTTGCGTGGTGGTCAGGGTTTGCGGCAACAAATGCTTTCTTAGCATCTGTACAACTGAAAGAGTTAAGGGTGAAGGGAGGGGGGAGAGCTCAGGGTAGGCGGGAGAAGGGGGGTGGGGGGGGGGGGGACGCGGCCGAGCGGAAACGCTGCACAGAGGAACCTCAGCGAACCAAGAAAAAAGAGAAAGTGGCAACGAAAACAAGGGCAAATTGAACCCTCCTCGGGGATTTCCAATGAACTAACCCAACTCGGACATTCAATAAATGCATCGTTCCTAATGAGTATGCGTGTGAGTGCACCCCCGCATCCCCAGCTGCGGGTGCGCTTTTTCGGCGACCGCCGCCCCCAACTCGTGTGGGAGCCCGCAGTCCAGAGCCCCAGAGGCACTCGCCGCCCAGTGGTGACCAGTGCGTAGATAGATGCCGAGCCGCCGGCGGGGTTCCGATTAAAATGTGAACAGGCCTGCCCTTCTTTCTGGGTGAATCATTCTCCTGCAGAGCGCAGTTAGGTGAACTCAGTCAAATCCTGAGGTCTCCAGTCTAGCTGCAGCCACGCAGCCACGCAGCCTTTGCATGATCTCAAGATGAACAGTAGACGCATAGAATTGATGTAGGATTTTGCTCAAGCTCCTGCTTGCCGGGTGAAAGATACCATCGTAGGTAGGTTTCAGCAAAGCCATTATTGCTTAGCTATAGATCTGAAAGGCAATAGTAACCAAACCCCAAACAGAACGGATTTTCCCCCTGCGTTCCCCAAAGGATCCTTTTTATATTTATGTATGCATATATGTATATATGTATATATATATGTGTGTATATATATATATATATATAAAAGATGGAACACAGATTTCATTGAATAAATCTGAGATCTCCAGGTGCAGACGTTTGAATAGTCAGTGCCAACACCCCGTGTTTTCCTTTCCTGCCGATTTTGCTTGGATCCGGCTCAAAAACCGAGAGAGTCTCGTGGTTTTGTTTACACTGAATGGGGAGGATAGGAACAGAGCCATGGGGCCGCCTTTCATTAATATACAGTGAGGATTTTGTCTAAATTACTGCTATGAATTTCACAGTACACGCTTTCAAAAGCACTCTCAGGTGGCCTGATGAAACGTGATAGCGCGACTGCAAACAGATCCACTTTCTTTCTTTTCAAGGAGGGTGTATGCAAGCGTATGGGAAGCCCCCCAAAACGCTGTGCTCCTCGATAACAGAAATATACTTCTGTTCTGAGGTCTGTCCCCTTCTCCTCCCCCCTTCCTCTACTTAGTTTCCTAGTCGTTCCCCCAGTCCCCCGCCCCCCAACCCTACCCCATCCGCCTCCTCCTTTTGCGGAGTGTGATTGTTTTGTCTGGAAAAAAAATCCAAAGTATATAACAAGGGGAGAACAGTTAGTGCTGATTTTCATTTGCATACATTTTCATATATTTTGGTGAAAATAATAGACTAGTGGAGAGCTGGGCTTAGAGGAGTCAGTGTAAAGGGAAGGCTAAGGATGCATCGGTTCTGGGGAGTTGAGAATATGCCTCCCCCCCCCCAAGTCACCTGATTTAAAACAAAAAATAAAACGTCTTTTATTTTAAAATCTAACCCTGGAAGTTTTCTGGTAAGTGCTTTTCATTTTCTTTCCCTGCTATTTCTTTCTCTTCCCCTTCTTTTCGGTTTATTTACTTAGGTTCTTATAGGTTTGGGAGACTATTTTCATAGCTTGGGACAAGAGAGGGTTCACAGAGCAACTAACTGTTTGAAGGAAAGAAAGGAAAGTGTATGTGTGTGGGGAAGTAAAACAATAACAACAACAACAACAAATCAACCCAACCCTGCTAAAATTACATAAAAAGATGGACTCATTCCAGAGCTGCACACAACAAAGCAATTCTTTGGTGGTGGCACTTTACTTTTGGAAGGGGTGCCAGGGAAATGCTATTAATTTTATTTATTGATGGTGACCCCCCAAAAAATTATAAGCCATAGAAAAAAGCGATTATAAAGCACGCAGGATTATAGATATTTTTAATTTTTATTTATTTGTTTGTTTCAGAGAATAAGGACTAACAGGGAAAAACTCCTTTTTGTAGCCAGTAGTGATGTGGTGAGCTGAGTATATTTGCCTGGGGTTGGGGTGGGGGAACTCCTGCTGGGAGCAGGGGGTGGGGAGAGGACGGGGCCTTGGCAAGGAGAGGCCAGAGAGGTGGGGAAGAAGGAAGCCAGGAAGGAAGCAGCAGCAGGATGTCAGTACACCCCTGGTTAATGCTGCTTCTGGGGGCAGGCCGTTAGATGTAGCCTCCCAGGTCGTAGTGGAAGTCCATCAGACAGAGGGCGATCAATCAAAACTAACCAGGACATCCCTACATTTTATTCTCAAAGGAGCTTTAGCATCACAAACTAGATTTTACTTTGTGTTCTGTTTTTGACAGCTGCCTTAGCCCCCCCTTGCCTGGGTTTTGTAAAATTTGAGGGTGCAGTTACTTGCTAAGTGCAGTTAATTAAATAACTATGGCTGGAGAACATAGCTAGGCCAAGTCCAGACCCGCGAGTACCTTAGCTTAGTTCAATAGGCTGGAGAGGATCTTTAAAGCTTTTTGGTTTTGTTCTTTTAAAGGAGCAGTGTCTGGGATAATGGGGGTGGGGTGGGGATCAAATGGCTGGAATTTCACTGCACTTTTGTACACAAAACACCTTGCAATTTACAAGTGGTAGTTTCTTTGGAAACAGTAGATGCCAAATCAATGAAATGGTTTATAAGGATGGAGGAAGAGGTTTCAGTTGGGGAGGGGGGCGGGTAAGAATCGCTAGTTTTCCACTCCTTGTTTACGTGCTTGGCAGCGTCGCTTTTGACTGGGGTTAACTCTGTGTGCTCCATTGGACCAGATGCCATATAGAGCTGCTCCCTGAAGATCATTTGTTTTCTTGATGGGGAACATTTCTGAGCAGAGCATATTGGTTGCCATAGAGAAAGAAATAAAAGGAAGAACACTAGTCACATTAAGCTATATGTTTGTGCACTGGGCTTTAGATAAAAGGACCTTGGTTCAGCCAAAGAGAATAAGCCAAACTAGAGAATTCTAGCGCCACTAAAACTAGCTTTATTTTGTTTTAGACTTTTACAGTTGAAACATATAAGCTAATTTTATTGGTTGTTGTTAATTTTATATGACACGGTTTACTGAACAAAATAAACTTTGGAAGTGCTCTGGAGTAGCGCTATTGACTTGTCAGCAGGGGGCGCACTGACTCATCTTAGTGGGCACTGAGTAAAACGTAGTTGTTTGTAAAGCAAATCTGCTCATCATCTAAACTTGCCAAAGGAACAAACACCCTACGTTTCTATGCATATTCACAATGAGGAGGGAACGCATTGTACAATAACAATTTTAAAAAATATTAGGACACTGACCTTCTCATCCCCCAACCATGTAAGTCTGTGAAGTAGTCCAGAAAGAAATACAGTTTGAAAAGTGTTCATCCACTCCCAGTGTAGAGCTGGAAAAAGAGAATTGGACTGTGAGAAAAACATTTAAATATTATTAGGGCTGCTTAAAAATCTACCTTTCAGGTTTTATTGTGTGTGTGTGAAATATCAAAATGAATTGTTCATGATTGTTAAATCATGAATGTTCTACAGTCTGATAGATAGATGCACTGAGTTATGAATAAAACTCAAATCCCCAGAGACTTTGTCAAGGTGTCCAGGATCTCTTTTACTCCATTTGATATATAATGGCTAGTTTAATTCTTGGACTGCCTATGGTTTTAAGAAAGATTTAAAATGTATTGTTGAAAGGTTTGATAGGGAAAAGAAAATACAAAATAGCCAGCAGTTAAATAGAGCGATGAGTTTGAAACTTTTAAGTACAATATTACTAAACTCACTTGAAGAAAGTTTTAACAGAGCACAAGATTTTCCACTCAAATACTTTGTATATAGTGCTTATGCTGATTGAACTTTATTGTGGTCTAAAGGATGAAAAAGATAGGGGGACAGTTTCCTGAAATGGTGAAGGTCAAATCCTGACCAGTTTTGAGGAATTAGTCAGTTTGTCACTAACAATTTTCCCAAGGAGTTTTACAGAGCGTGACTACTAAAGGGAAGCCATGAGTGACTGGAAATAAGAGCTGGCTTCCACGGTTCAGTAGTCGAATGCACCTGCGAATGTGTCACAGTGCCTGTTAGTAAGGGGCACAGTACAGGAAAGCTCTAAGGTTCCTTTGGAAGAGGGGTAAAGACCCCATACTCTTTTTAACTGTACTCAAAGTCAGCCAGGTTCCAGTCATGAGAAGTTTTTCTAAGAC